AGAGATTTACTATTTTCAATTTACTATTTACTATTTCAAATTTCTGATGCTCATGCTTGGAAAATTAGATATTTTCTTGGTCAATCCTCCATTTTTACTACCTGTACTAGGTAAATTTACTTTAAAAACAGTCACAAAAGTGATCTTATCTATTTCTGAAAGAAAATTAAATGGAACATTATAAATGTAAGTCATTCATAGATTCACATATGGATTCTAACAATTTTTGAGTCACACAGAGATAGGCTTATAGCCACTAACTTTCTAAAAGGTTGTGTTGAAATGAAAAGATAACAAATGACCAGGAAACATCTGAGCTACAATGATTGGGTAACAGGGTATTCATTTTGGAAGGAAGTTGGAGACGAACTAGATCATACTCATTATTTGACAAATGGGGTCATGGAGCTACTATAATGGATAGATAAGTAAGAGGCTTTCACAAAGATGACTTTCAATGTAATGATTTTCTAGTTCATTTCCAACAGTAAAAGATTGCTTACTATCACACAATTCTTTCATAGGCAGGATTTCACGTGCAGTCAATACAGGTATTTATGACAAAAAGCTATCAAAGTATTAGAAACCTAGCACTTCTAGGTCTGCATACCTCACCTTTGTTATTGTTGTCACAGCTTCACTGGGTATTCAATATTAACACATAGTCCTCCCACCACTCTACCATCACCTCACTAGAGTTCAAAGGGCACTAGAAATCAAAGGCACCTGTTTAGGGACCTTTGGGAGAAGTTGATTTAATTTGTAAAAAATATATTTGAGATTATTATATACTATAGGGACAGCAATCATATATATTCATACTTTAATATTCATTTTTAAGAGATAATCCATGAGGTTTTATTCCAGTTTGAGTTTTTAGAGCTTTCCAATATGAGGATATTTCTGCCTAATTAAGAAAGAGAAAAAACTTAAAAATGCCTGTATTATCTCAATGTTGCCAGGTTGGCTGAGCACTACATGGTTTGGTTTCATTGATACTCCAGAAGGCAAAACTTTAATATTTGTCAATTTAAGCAGAAATAAAGCTAGCAAAATAATGAAACACCTAAATTTAATATACATACATATTATATAAATACATATATGTTTATATATATATATATATATATGTATGTGTGTGATCACAGTAGAAAACAGATTATTACATAAGAACAATGTGGGTCTTAAGGAGTCAATTTCTTGCTTTACCCTCACTATTTCTTAAAAGGGAAAGAAAGAATAAAGGAGAAAGAGATAAAGCTTATTTAAAGGCCTCATTTCCCATGAAATACTGGTATACATTTAAAACTGAGAACACCCTAGAAACATTGTACTGGCTTTTCCTGGATGTAGACTAAATTTCTGAAGACTAAAGTACAAACACAGTATAGACATGCTATCATTGACAACACTATACTAAATCTACACAATTGAATGGTAATAAAAAAGTATTTTGTATATATAAAATATTTCCCAGGTACCAAAAGTTCAAATAAAAATCCCACCCCTTCTGCTGTGTTCCTAGGTATACTACATACTGACTTGGGAAATGTTTCACAGCACTTGTTTCAGAGCAATGTTCTCTGGTTTATGGGGCTGGAATCAAGGACCAACCACTCACTTAGGTGTGGTTTCCTATAGCACCATACTGCCGGCCAGGTGTGAACGACTGCTGCAGGCATGAGTATGTTCTGGTGGACACCAGCCTTATAGACAACCTTAGCCAAGGTCACCAGAAGCTTCACTAAAATTGCAGATTTAACTGTCATTCGCTCTGGAAGCCAATGTGCATTCTCTTGAAGTCTGCTTGGCCTTCTATTTTCTTTTTGACAGGTCTGATATGCTATTGTGATTAAAACAAATTAATTTGTCAAGTCCTAAAAACAGCATTGTTCCTCCTCCAGAAGGCCTCGCTGATGCTACCTGGAAATAATGTAAATTGTTAGAGATGTGAGAAATTTAGAAATATGTATTCCTTAACCCATAATAAGGTAGGTAGATATTTGACTAGAGTATAAAACAGAGCACTTCATAATGTGCACAGGAAAATCAGGAAGAATATTTGAGTGATAATTATCCAATATAATTTCTATTATTTCTCATTAGCTTAAAATTGGTCCCATTTTGAATACCAGTTTTCCATAGCAATCATTGGTGAGTTAGAATAACATATGCTTTATAAAAAAAGTCATATCAGAAAATGATTCAGAGGAAGAATAATGGGTGATATTCATTTTCCAGTTAATTGTAAATAAGCAACTTACTTAATTACAAATCTTCAAATACCTGTTTACATAATGAAGACAATGAAAATGAAACAAAATCAAAGAGGTCTTGTAGAAGTAAGCACTTGCAGACACATGAGCTTGAAGAACCAGGTAGCAATGGCTCCAGGTGTTTGCCATGTTACATCAGCTTTGAAAGCCTTGATGTTGTCAGCGCTTGTCTGCTGGTGCCCCAAAATATACAATTTGAGCTTGGACCTTTGTCAGAGGACATCTTCATATTCCAAAGGGAGACAAATGACCACTGAAAGTAACTATTAATATTTATTCTTCATGGAGAATTTTGTCTTCACTATCAGTTGGGAAGTAACTATATCTCTAAACTTCACATCAAACTGCCAGTGGGTGTGCCTGATGTTCATGCTCTTCAGAATGCACAAGGATGTTTATAATCACCTGATACATGGTTGTACTTTAAGAAATAAGGGGCTGAATCAGGACTTATGTTTGACTAATGATCTTCAATCTTTTCAGAGTACATAATGTATTAATGTAACTACAGTGAGTCACAGATTATATAACCTCCTAATTAGGAAAACTGTGTATGAATTCTTCAGATAAGTAAGAAGTAACTTTCTAGTGAAAAGATCCAAGAACAAGGTTGACTTAAACTTGTGAGGACTTTCAGTTAATGTCCATAGTTGTAATAAATTTCAACACAATAATATATTTTATATGCAACTTCAGGAGGTTTGTATACCTGTTAAGACCATCTTTTCAAAATTTCCCCAAAGATATAATCTTTTTAGATGGGAAGGTGGATGATCCAGAAATTAAAATTTTGTAATAATATTTAAGAGGCTAATATTACTTCTACATTCAAAACAATAAAACTGTAATAGGACAACTAATGAAGACAACAAACCTTTTGTGAAGTGCATTTCTACCAAAATGTTTTCAACAGGTAAGACCTTGAATTTTCACTAAACAGTGTTGGAAAGAATACTATGCTCTTTCTTTTACATGTATAACATCATATCTACTATTAAAGCATGTTCTCAAAGAGCAATTTGCAATTTATTTTCAACAGAAATAACCTCAAGTAAGAGTTGTACATATTCAATGTCTGATTCAGGAAAGTACATTCCGTTTTAATGGAACAACACAATTTCAACCAAGATTTTCCCAACTACAGTAAAAGAAATCCTCTATATACTTTCAAATACTGTGCATTTTTATTTAAAACAGTGTAAACATAACAACACCACCAAAAATTGAAAAAAAAAACTAGTATGTGAACACTAATTTTCTTGAATACCCCCATCAAAGTAAGGGTAAATAAAACAGACAACTCTTCAGGAGAAGTTTCCATTAACCTTAGCAGTGGTAAAAATATTGCTTTATTCCAAATGAACATACAACACAATTTACTGTTCTTTAAGGGGCTTCCTGTGAACTGAATACTCTGGGCTTTGTGATTTCAACAATTTATTCTTAATAACCACAGAAGCCTTTGTCTTGGTCCACAAGTTATAGATTTGTGGATTATACATGTTACAAAATAAATCATAATGAGCCTCATGAGAAAGCAAAGGATAACTGTCAATTTGGTCATTGGCTTATGTAAATAACTTAAGTATGCATGACTTAAAATAAATATACATATTCAACTTGCCTTGTGATACAGATACCATCAATGAGCCTAAACTTGTTCCTCTCAGAAGTATTCACATCAGAAAATGATCTAGACATTGTCAAGAATTTTATAGGACGCCACCATGCAAGTGACTGATTTAAGAACATACTAACTGAACTTTATACTTCAGGGGAAAATTTAAAGAGAACAAATCTAAGAGGGAAATTTTTTTCTGAATATTAGATTCCCTGATGTTTCAGAATAAATCTTAACAAGTATAATACACACACACATGCACACACATACTCACAATGAACACATGCATACAGCATACCAGTGCTCCAGGAAACTCAGTCGCACCCACACAAATGCACACTCACACACACAGGCACACACACTGAGAAATGCTCCTGTGGAGCCCTTAACCAATCTCAAAGAAAAACACTTCTATCAGCATGATTTTAGCGACATGACACTGTAATTTTTTGTCTCTTTTTCTATAATGACTTCCTATCTCTGAGATTCTGTGCCCTCAAATTTCAGAGGAAGATGGCACATAAGAGAAGCTGAGATTGCCCCCAATGACTACCTTTATCTCCTGTCCTCCTCCTTCCAAATTCTTGGTGCCATTCTTCAAAATTTAAAATTAAATAGAAAACACATGTGTTGACATGACATAACCTGTGATGAGGCTGTCCAGTGAAGAGGAATTTAGAGGTTGGGACTTTCGAGCTAAATGGCAAGAGTCACCTTTTCACTGGCACCTCTGCCCTCAGAATGCAGCTTGTCTCTGAAACTGGGTAACTGCCAGTGCCTTTTTATGAGGACACTGGTGCTGTGGGGCTAAGGGTCTGAATCGCCCCCATCTACTAAGAGCCAAAAAGGACAGTGTTGGGACAAACTGAAACTGTATTCAGAATTCTATCCAAAAGCTTTAGTTGTAAGCTTTATCCCTCCTGAAATGTTTCTTTCCCTTTAAAAAAATATTTTGTTAAAAAACACTATGATATGAGGGCGATAGACTATTTGGTTTCTTCTAAGTAGATGCTCTTAAATTAATGCATATAAATAATTTGTATTTAATTTCCTTTCTTTCCAGTTGAGCAAAGCATACAATGCACAGATTCCTACATCTCAAGTCACTTGGTCAATGCAGAGTCTCTTTGTATTTCATTTCTTAAGACAAATTGTGCCTCTCGTTCTGATTTGGCCGTGGGACTCAGGGGGAGGAAGGCTGTGTTTTCACTTGCACTGTCCTCAGTGTCTACACTGGCTAGTTCATAGTCTTCTGACCGCCTGGCCTCAGTCAGAATTCGGATCTGCTCCTGGACAGTTTCTAGCAAAATTTTCACTTCTTGTTGTTCTGCTATAAGACAATCGTTGACTGGAATACTCACATTGACAACATCAGCAGAGTAGGAGTTTTTGCACCATTTGATGCTTTTTACTTCAGAAATCCCTGGCATTTGCATGCAGGTTTCCTCTAGACCCATGGAAGGGATGATGGGCACGGAACTGGCCCTTGTGGATGAATATACCATCAGGTCCTTTTGATCCAAGTTATTAAAATAGGAGTTTGTCTCTCTTGAAGGCAGTTGCATATTTACTGATGCATTTTGTTGGGTGCTTAAACTGGTGGATGAATACCTGAAAAAGAAACAAAGTGTTATATATTCTCTCTGCCAGTGCTTCTTCAGAGTACTATCCAGCCAACAAAGCACTTTGCACATGCACCATCTCACTGAATTCTCACAGCAACCCCATCAGACGGATAATATGTTCCCAGTTAAACAGAGAAGTAAACTGAAGCTCAGGTGAAGTGACTTGCCCAAGGTCACACAGAAAATAAGTGACAGACTGAGACTCAAACCCAGATCTTCTTACTTTAAGTCCAGGGATCTTTCAACACACCACAGCTGTATAGGCAGGTGGGATATAGTCTTCCTGACCTCTATCCTAGAATACAAAGTAAATGGGGATTGAGCAGGTAAGTGTGGCCTTTCCATAGTGACAAACAGGAAACCCATAACGGCATTACTCCACTCCATCAACTTGACCACCCTCTCAGCCCTGGTTTAGTACTCATGTGGCCACTCTACACAAAGAAATCAGGAAGCCTAACATTAAGCATTAAGGTACTACATTCCTGACTTTTTCTGTTTCATCCTGACTTTAGGGGAACTGAATGCAATTTCTATTGGCACTCTGCTCCATAGGAATTGCCTCCCTACACATTGCTGAGACAAAAAATGGGAACAGGAAGCATACAATCCTTCTCTCTGCCCAATGGTTAACATGAAGTGACTTCTACGGGACCTCTACCAATGTAGCGACTTTCCTCACCTGGTTTCTGGAGCCAAGTTACGTAGCTCACTGTGCATGTCAATGGCTTAAGAATGCCAACATGCCATTTCAAGTCATTTGAATACTTCAGAATCCGACTTGCCCCTGTGTTACCTGTTCAGAGCTAGTGAATTTGCCAGAGCTTGGAAGTTCCCAGTGCCATAAAGTAGGGCAGGGATATTATAGATTCAGAGATATTATAGGCATAAATTTGGGGACTTGAACATTAGTCTTTATTCTATTTCTCAGTTTATGTCTTTAACTTAAACATTAAAATTTAGGTATAATCTAAACTGATCTGCTCTCTGTGTAATAGATATCATTCCCTCTGTCTTGTATTGTAATATAAATAAAAGTCATGTTTATACAAGGAAAGAATAATTGCAATGAAGTATGTAGCATATTGAATAGAAGTCTTTGATGTAGGGGTGTGATGGGAACAATCTAGAAATCTGTCTTCCCATCAGACAATGAGAAAAGATGGGAAACAAATTTAGGTGTCTTTTTAGTCCCATCCTTACTGTTCCTAGTACAAAGATGGTAATCAATAAATCTCAATGGAATGGACACATGAATACGTAAACACACTTTATACCCCAGGTAGCATTCATTTCAAACATAATAACAAGAGCTAACATCCACACAGTGCTTTTAAAAAGCACTTTGACCTGCAATTGACTCACTGAATTTTTAAAGACTATGTGGTTTATTTATTATTATTACCAAGTAATGAATGAATAAACTAGACTAAAAGGTACTCCAATGACTTGCCCTAAATTACCTTTAGTAAGCATCACAGGAAGAAGTTAACCCTAAGTTGTCTTATTTTCATTGTTACCATCAAAGCCAGAAATGAGGGGGCATCCATGGTGCACTAGAACACCTTTAGAAGGATATATAGCCCTTACCTGTGCAGACTATATAGCCACCACCTACAAAGAACTTCCTCAGGGGATCTTTCTCCTTTCTCTCTAATGTTATAGAACTGAAAATCTAAACCTAAGGATTTTAATCAATAAATCAATTTCAACAAGAAGAAAGGAAACAATTTAGAGGACTTTGTGTCCTGTTCTTAGCACCATACTGTTAACACCATTAATATGTATGAATATGTAAAATGTCTTCTATCAGATTCACCAACATCACAGAGCCTAAAAATATAATTAAGGTAAAGTCATATTTTATGTAGACCTCATGAGAGCATATCAGTAGGTATAATCTATTGCATTGACATGCGATGGTGATAGATGAAAATTCTTATACCAGCATCTAAACATTATTTGGAAAAAATATTAGCTAAAGGTATAAATATCTTAGTCAATTGTAGCTTCAATAAGTCAACAATGTGTCATGACTGAGAAGTGATCAAAGGTAATTTGAGCCAAACTTGGAGCAGTCTTCCAACAGGCCTAACTGCTGAATTAAGGACTTAGATGAGAAAGAGAAATTGCAGCTGCTGACTTTTGTGTCCCTTCACATGTGAGTTATGGGACACATGGCTGGCAATAACTGAAATCTAAAATGTTACTATAACATGAAGATTTCTTTAAACAATTAGAACTCTCCAAAATGTGATTTTGTGTTGGATTAGATATGACTTCAAGTCCCAATGCTATTTTTAGAAAAATTGCAGCCTCACTTTAATTTTCTCATATTAAAACAGTGGGGTAGTCACACTGACCTGGGGGGATTGCTCTGAGAACTAACTGAAGTAATGCTTCTCTGCACTATTCAATCAGAGGCACACTGTAGTCCTTGCTTCCTTTCTACAGCTGCTGTGAGTGCCCCAGTACTGGTATTGAGTAGACGCTGTTACTATTCTACAGAAGTTTAATTGAGAGATAAATTTCTAGATGTGATTCTGGATGAGAAGACTCTCAGTGTTCTGCATTCCTGAGAGTCAATCACTCTTTCACAAGTTTGATCCATGAGCTTGTCAATCATTGACTGTAAAATACCAGTTTGGGCTGTCCTTCCTCCAATCTCTCAACAAAGAAATCGCAAGTGTATTTCCTCAGTAAATATGTGAGTCAAAACATCATTTAAAAGGTGAAATATTCCAACAATTAGTCACCTGGTTTTATTCCCAGTAATTCAAGAATCAGGCCAAGGAGTTTGTATTTCCACAGGGGACCTAGTTCCTAGTTCATATGGCTTTTGAATTAACTGACTAAATTGAAAGAATTCACCTTTCCCTCTGAAACCATACAACTGAGATTCCATTTACACATCATCATTCAGGAATGTGATTTTCTTCACATTCCTCTTTCTGGTTTAATGGTTTATTTGGTCAGAAAGGCCAGTATTCAGTCTTACTTCCTTTACATGATATATCCCACCTTGGGCTAGCCATTTAAATTCCCCATACCCTTAGTGCATTCATCTATCGATTTCCTGAGGTATATAAAGTTGTTAGTTGAGTGAGATAAATAATCTGTATATTTTTGTATCCCATCTACTTTGTAGGTGGCAAAATTTGTAGCTTTGTTTCTTTCTCTGTAGTATGTGAATACATTTCTTTGACTTGCCTGAGTATTCACCACCTCACACCTTCCTCAGGCCTCACTAAAATAGCTGCTGGGTTCAAAGTGGGCTGGAGTCAGTGCCAAGGACTGAAGTCACAGACACCGGAGCCTAACCAGCAGACAGCGCCCACATGCTTGATAAACATGCAGCAGATGGCTGATAGCTCTTGCAAATTCATTCACTCCCCCTCTAGGCAAGGGCCAGATTTGAAGAAGGTTTTTAGCTGTGAAATTCTGTTACCAATCCTATTTCTAGTCTGTAGAGACAGTCAGTCCCCCAGGAGTGGAAAATAGCTATTTCCAAGAACTGAGAATGAGATTGCTCCCTGAGATTCATTGTATGAAGTACACAGTGACTTATACCTAGAGTCACCATTTATCAACACTGGGTCCATAACACATAGGAAAATACATGTGGCTAGCCAGCTGGAGAGACTATTCTAATCTCAATGATGACTGAACCAAAACAAAACCACCACCTTGCAGACAGTAAGTGTAAATCTCCCAGGAGGTAAAAGACAAAGCAATGCCCGAACATGTAATGGGAATCTCTAAGCCACGGAATACTTGTGTATGTATGGTTTAAGCCAGCATAGGGTCAGAACATCCTTACATCTGGGACATATGGAATGATAGCCAGGATATGCTCAACAGAAAGAAAGGCAGTGTGGGCTGGGTTCTTTCTCTACTCACTAAATATATTAATCCTAATGAACAGACATTATCAGTGATTTAAAAAATCATTATGAAATATGATTACTTATAACTATAGACTAAATACAAGCCTCTTTTCCAGATACAAGACAAAGGAAAATGCCAACCTACTTCTTGGACAACTTGGATGTTATGTTGAATTTGCAGCTGTCAACCCAGATCTGTACCAAACACATTTTACAGTATGTTTGGAATTGCTTCAAAATTATAAAACCTAGCCACAGGCTATTCATTTCCTATTCTCTAGTCTTCCTAAAGAAATCTGTTGCTGAGATTTATCATTTAGGGCACAACTGCACATACATCTTGCCCAGAAGGAAAGAAAATGATAGGGCTCTCTGATGGACTTCCTACTTGCTTTGGCCTTCAGCTTGATACAGTGTATAAAAGTCATCCAGGCCAGAGCAGCACAGAAACCTGGCCTGGTTTACCCAGAGATAAAAACTAGACGTGATAAGAACCTGGCTTGTGTGAGGCAACAGATTCCTGAAATCTCTGGAATAAACCCTGATTTTATTAATATTGAAATCAATGATAATTTTGTAACAGTTCCCGTGACAATAAATATCAGTACTACCTCTCCATTTTTTACCACATGGCCAATGCAAGCTCTTTGCACACATAATTTAAAAAAATCTACCCATAACCTTCAGGAAGGCTCATCAATTCATAGATGAGAAAACTTAAATTTAGATGATAAAACTTTCTCAAATTCACAGAAGTACTAAGCGCCAAAGATGAGATTTGAACTTCAGTCATTTTGAGTAAGTACTGCCATGTCTGTTTGAACAGTATGTCACTTAGGTGGATGGTGACTAAAATTCATCCTACAATACATTCCACTCACCATGCCTTGAACCCTATGAGGTTTCGTGTCCACTCAGAAGAAGAGATACTTTTTGTACTGCAAGGAGGAATAGTAGCCATAGGTGCCCCAAATCCCTTTTTCCATCCCTGCACTGTGAACAAACCTAGAGATCTGAATTCAGCAAGTTTTACTTGAGAGAATACTGTAACTGAGACTCATTCAAGAATGCTCGAGATTTTAAACATATGTGTGTGTGTGTGTGTGTGTGTGTGCGCGTATACAGGTTACTTTTTAGGATATTGTCCATGATACTGATCAGAGAATTCAGTAATTGTTTTCAAAGCTAAGTATCAAGAAACACTTTAGTCCTCCTAAGAAATCTCTAATTTTTTAAATCAAAGACAAATTCTAAGTTGTTTTAGCAACTATATACCAATGCACTGCCTACATATCTATACATTTATTTTCTCATTAGTGCTTATATTTATTTTCTATCTAACATTTTCCTAACATCTATTTTCACTGTACCTATTCTTTTAAGTTAGTTTACATTTGTGAAACAAAGATGAAAGGAAGTATAAATAGCTAATTGATGACAATATCAATGAATAAAAGCCCAATGAACACAACTCAATTTAAAGCTATAACGGTGATGACACCCTCCCTCAATTTCATTGTTTTTAGACCTACCCTTGACAAGGTATTGTATCTTGGTCTGGGATCCTTGATTCCTCAAGTTGTTGATAAGCTGGTCCCACAATTCCGCCCAGCCTACTTCGAGGTGAGGGTGGTGTCCTTCGGAAGGCGTTCCTGTGGAGCATGCCACTCTTTTGTCCTGGGCTGCAGCAAGAGGAGAGACTCCTGCTGGGGTGAAAGAAAACCAGCAAACAAAATGATCGTAGCAATGACCTTAAAGGTGGCTGTGCAAACTTTTCAAACCCTGCATTTGCACCCCAGCTTCTCAAAGTTGTAGGCCAGGCTCCATCTATAACTATAGTATAGCTAGGAGGGGATCAGAAATTGCCAAATCCATTTTACCCTTGCAGATACTTAAACAAAGAGTTCTTGTATTTCTAGCTTTCCAATAGGGAGCACAATGGACTAAAATAATTGCTCCTTTCCAGCCAAAATAAGAGGTGGGATTAAGAAACTCTCAAGCTTCTCATTCTCACCCACCCTCATTATTCCACCTGTAGTAACTATCTCTCAAGTAAAAATAAAAATTTGTTATTAGACACTGACAAGAACCAAATACAGGAAGCCCTGAAGGGAGTTATGGGGAAAATTTCAGTTTGTTAGTGGTAAACAAACCTTATTATAATTGGCATTCTCTCCTTGACAAGTACATTAAGTTCACAGTTCACTTCCCCAAATTTTCATCAATCTTGAGGAACTAAATTATTTTTCTTTTTTTAATTTGCTTTACTAAACGTCTCATTTTGACTCATAGATTCAAATATCCAAATAACTACATTTTTAGATGTCATCAAAGGGCCAAAGTTATAAATGAGATACACTTTAGGTGAGATACCTGCATAGGCTCACGTTAAATAAAAGAACTCTTTGTAACAAGCAATTGCTAATTTGACACTTTACCTGTTCTATATGCTTCCTCACCTCTACCTCCCCAAATTTAACCTACTCTCATAGACAGTACTGAGGAGAACTCTGCTCTTGTGTACACATTTTGTAAGATGCCAGTTTATGTGACAAAACTATATAGAGAACATAAAACTATATAGCGAAATTAAAAAACATTTTCAAAATTTCAATAGAACTATCAAGTTTTAAAGGCACCAGTCCCCCCAAAGAAGTTTCACCCATATAAATATATTATTTGGAGTTCAGTAACTTTTCTGTACTAATTAATATTGCTGTTATTTCTACTTAATAAATACAAAATAATTTATCAAATATTATTTAAGTTCAGAATTGACAACCAAGATGACTAGCCAAACTTCACATTCCTCAAGCCAACGTTGACCTCCTGAGTTAGTGCAAACACCAGGTCATACCTGGCAATATTATTACAACTTAATTCTTTATTGTAATATTTCTTGCACGCTGAGTCTCAAAATGCCTAATAGCCAACAAGTTAAGGAGATCTATAATAGTTCATTTATTTCCCTTTCTACCAGCCTCTACCTATATTATCCAGTAGAAATTTTGGAGTCTGAAGGGTACTCAGGCTTGGGTGCTAGAAATAGGTGCACCTGAATGTGCATCTGTACATTATTAGCAGTGTGATACTGGGGGAAGTATTGGAACCAGTCAGAGTCCTGGAGAAAAATAGATGGTACTCTAAGTTGGATAATTTGGGGGGGACATTTGCTACTTACAAAGGTGTGTCTAGTGTTTGAGAAAAAAAAAGCAACACAGGATACTACTGTATGTCAGGGCTACTAACAATGGGAAGCTGTTACTATCCCTGTAATTGAAGGGACAAAGGAAGGGAGCCATGGGAAGAATAGAGAGAAAAAGGGGTTGCAAAGAGAGTACCACTTGGCAAGCACTTTGTCCCAGGAAAAGGGATATATATAGCTGAGGCAGCCAGGGAGGGGGCAGAAATACTAGGAACTTGCTTTCCCTCTGCCCTTCCATATCTTATGGTTAACTCATATTGAATTAAGAGAACCTAGAGGACAAAAGAGCCTGCTTACTTCCTAGTGCACAGAGCAAGGCAGAAAAAGGTCAATCCTAGACATGGGTGGAGGAGGTGCAAGAGAACATCATTAACATGATGCTTAAGTCTTTTCATAGGATTGCTGTGGGGGTTCAAAGAGATCAAGTATGTGAAGTGTCTAGCACAAAATTTAGCACATACTAGGTGCTCAACACAGTAAGTTACCCCGATTCCTCCCTAACCAATGATAACTCAAAGGCTTTCATTTGTCATGGAAAACCCGAATTTATTTCATTATTAAAAAACCCTATCTATATGTTGTCTATAAATGGGTTATATTGTCAAAATATAATGTAATAAATATGACATGACAAAATTCCCTTCCTCTTTAGAAAGAGTTTTATTTACTAAAAATGAGAAACTGGTTTGAATTAATAGGTTTGTTTCATAAATGAGGTATCCAAACACATTGTATTTATAGTACACAGAAAGAAATTAATTATTCATAGCTAGCCAAAGTGTCACAACAGCAAAGTCTACCAGTATGAACTGGTGACCCATCTTAAAAAGCAGTTCTATACCTATTCCATCAGCTATGCTGCCCTTCTAACCTAGTAGCATTCAGAAGTGATGGAGCAGTTTTCAGTCTATATAAATCAGTGGCCAGGTTATCAGTCATGAAAACAGTTAAGTCTACTGCATGTTTTACAAAACAAAAACTATGTTACATTACACTATAATTTACAAAGTTTTAGAGGTGCTTTATAAATCAACCCTTGCCTACCTGTCAGGACACAATGTATGCCTACAAATACTGCAATGTCACTAAACTGAACAAAAAGGAAGATCTCTTAAAGACATTTGCATTTCCTAAAAATCAGAATAGAAGCCAAGTTTAGAAGGGGGTGTATCAACAGACAAGGAGTAAGAGTAGGGTATTTGTGGCTCAAATATATTAGAAGCTCTAATCCTTTTTTATCTCAACTTTAAAACATTTATGGCATAATATAGTGTAGAATAATATTATACCTAATTATTTTACTTGACTAGATGGAATACCACTTTCACATGTGTTATAATCAGCAGGGAAAATAGTGTTTGGAAGAAAATATCCATCTTAAAGGCTGGTAATTTTGGATGTATTTCCCTAATTAAAGAACTTCCATTAGCTCCAGTGAACTGAAATGATTTTTTCACAGTGAAATATCTATAAATGCCTCAACTGATATAAATCAAAACTTGTAGTTAATAACTAAAGCAATTACCCAATAGCTAAACATATTTCAATCCTGAGCTGAAAATATTTAAATCACCTTTAAAAAACAACAAACCCTTAGTATCTCAGTCTTTACTCATGTAGAGTGACAGAAAAACCTTATAGTAAATGTGTCACCTTCAATAAAATCATCTTCAGACTCATTGAGAAGCAAAGGAGAAGAGAGTGTCTTGTTAATGCATGCCTCTGTCAGAGTGGTTTTAAAAAATGCTACCTAGATATGTAAAACCTGTATTTATTTTTCATTGCTGGGAAAATTTAAATTTATATCTCTTTATATGTTTTTTTAAAATTTAAGGTATTATAGTTCTTACTAAGAGAAGGATGCTTAACTTGGGACAACTCCTACAAAGACTGAGGACATGCATTTAAATGACAAACTGTTCATTCGTTTTGAGCCCTAGTTCTAAACTTTGGCACCTGTTGTAAAACAAAGATTTTCAGTTTTTGGAGCTCCAGATTCCTTATGCATAAAACAGAGTATGTAACTAGAAGACAATAAAGAAATTTCTCAGTTTCATAATGCTGTACAATTTATAAGATAAATTTATTTTTGGCTTTCTCCCCAAAAGAGCCGATTTCTATATAAGTTCGTAAGAGTGCTATGCCACTGATAATAGATCATACAGATCTATGAGGAAGATTTGCTAGGATTTATCCTCCTGGAAAGTTTTCTTTGTGTGAGAACCATATTGGAAGACCTGGAGCATGTCACACATCAGCTGCCTAGGGAAGGATTAGCCATTAAATTTGTAGATAGTGATAAGACAGATTAGAAAAAAATAACGTTTTTAATAGTTTCTCAGAATGCAATTATTCCATTTACTGGTCTGTGTGTGCTGCTCTGATAGGTATTGTTAACAGTTCCTTTAGGCTTTTTATAGGTGCATTGCATACAGCCTTCTGGTATCTTTGGTTTACCTGCTATGAGCTGACCGAGCATCTATTCCATGGAGAACTATAGGAAAAGCAAAAACAATCATCTCTTCTAATAGTGTTGTCATTTCTTGGCATGTGTTGTCCAGTCTTACATGTTGTAAATGTGCCCATTCCCACCATGATTTGCTATCTGTACCTGTGGTGTTTGACAGATTGGCTTCCTCTGTCAGGAGAAGGGACCTCTGGGAATGACTGGGGGCCAACAAAGCTTGATTCCATCATTTTCTCCAAAGCAGTCACAGGATGCCTTTCCGCCTTTGAATACTGTGGGAAATCACATGCACAAAGGTGAGCTGGAGGATAGTTATAAGAGGATGGCCTATAATACTACAGATAGGTATTGAAAAGTTATGGAACCTGCCAATAGCATTCCACTGAGCATCCAATTAGGAAAATGATAGAGACATCATTTGCATCCCATTACTCACATGTTGAGTATGTAGTCCCCATCCTTGCCCCAAACTCTCTGGGAATAGATAAGGTCCATTCAAGAGGGTTCTTCACTTTAGATCCCTGAGTCTGTCTTTTCATATCAATCCATACCCATTGCACAGCCAAAAAAGTATACATATGTTTTATTCAATGCACATTTTTACCAAAAATTAGTAGCTGATTACTTTTTTTTAGTTTTTTTTGTTTTTTTGTTTTTTTGTGTTTTTTTTAGTTCTTTTTTAAAATTTTATTTAGTTATTTTTCAAGTACAGTTTTTCGTCTATTTTTCCCATCCCAGCCTCCCCCGCCCCTTGCTCCCCACCTCCCTCCCAAGTAGCTGATTACTAATAAGGGTTCAGTGAATACTGATTGAAAACACTTGAAATATTCTTGAAATTATAGAGGACATTGATTCAGTGTATCTGCCCACCACTCTCCACCGTCTCCCTCTTTTAGCCTGTTACCAGGATCTTGCTGTGTCTAAAAAGAGAAAGCTGTGTTTTGTTCTTTGTAGTTATTAACTCTTGGTTTCACCTTTGATTATGAGGCCTCATAAGCTAAAGGAGCCTAAAAGAGACTTATAGAGATGACACATTAAGAAAAAGTTTGCCTCAAGATAAGAATATTAGAATAGAGAAAAATAAACGTCAAGAATATTTAGTAAAGACAAAGATTTGAGAATAGTAGAGATAGTGCTAATTTACTGGGGTAAATATTGGCATTGTGTTCCAAAAGGTTAAATATACATACTCTTTGATCCAGAAATTTCTAGTATTAATATAATTATAAAATTTGAGTGATTATATCACTCAAAGTGAATATGACTGAGTGTGTCAGCAGTACAATTTTAAATAATAAAAGAGAAAATAAACAAAATAAATATTTAAAAAGTCTACAAACAAATACTATATAGACATTCATAAGAATAACATCAAGGTACAAAAAATATGCATAATATAAACAATGTGTGTGGATAAAAAATTCAGAAGACAGGTATACATATGTGTGTAAATATGTATTGTGGATATACATGTATATTTATCTTTGTATATATATTTATAGATTTTTGTATGTACATATGCCTATATTTTGTGTGCATGATTCCATGTGTGTGTCTGTGTTTCCCATGCAACCACAGAGAATATGGATGGAAAAAACTAAAAGAAACTGTTAACTAGGTATTATTCTTGATAAAAAGTGTATCAGTGGATGTGGGTTTATAAGAGTAGAAAAAAAATCTAAACCTTATGTAACCTTAAGTTCAAAATGTCTAACTAAACATTTTCTTTTGAAGTACTTCCAAAATGAACCACATAGTGGCAGTCATGGCCATGTCTTTAATCAGAATCTGAAGTCTACAAAATGGATTTACAGAAGCTGTCCAGGCTTCTTGCAAAATGGAATAAATTTATAAGGAACCAAAAAAAGATACGGAGATAATTTGGAAAAAATGATTGTTTCTTACAAATCAAAATTACATCTAAAAATAATGGAAATATCTTCATGTGTGCTTCTTTATTAACTAATTAGAGTTGTTTACTGCAAACCATCCATGAAAAAAGTAAACTGAGTAGACGTGTGACTGAAATGTAACCAACATCCTAAATTTCCATCTGAGTTCCAAATTCTATAAAAGGTCTACTGGGTTTTGTTTTTGTATTTTTTACCATCACCTTCTAATGAGTTGGCCTAGAAGACAAACTTGGATGCCTGGAAGGCTGCAGAAACATGTGAGCTGATTGGGACACCTATAGCAACTGGAGGCAGTAAGCCTCTGCTCTGCTCCTGCAGAAGGCTCTCAGAAGCAACAGTGGCCAGGGTTTCTGAAGCATCAGATTTTCTAGAGGAAATTATAAAATCATTTAAAGTCAGTGATCCACTTATTCATTTTTTAATAATATATACCAAAAAGCCTAAGTCAGCTTTTGGGCCCCTAGGTCAGAGCTTCTGCTCTGAATGAAAGATTTGGTACTGAAAGCTTAAGGGCCTTGTTCAAAATCCTGGATAAAAGTTTTGAATAGGATAAACCTCTCACTCATCCTGCTTATTCATAGGGATAATACTAGATATTGTGTCCAAAGCCTTTTCTTTCAAAAGGATGGATTATTATAATATTATACTGTTGCTTTCAATTGTACTATTTTGATCCACTAACACAAATTTGTTTGTATAATGTATTATTTTGAATCTCTTTTTTTCACACAGCCTTTACAAAAATATTTTTCATTTCTGTGCCTGCATTTGAACTGAGATTCAGGTTTAAATTGTTTTTATTCCTATCCAGAGTTAGTTGAAACATGTAGGAACCCAATTAAAAACGCTAATAATTTGTCAATATTTAAAAATAATATTCTTTACATGTGGGTTCAAGTGAATTTAAACATAGCTTCTGGTTTTCAGTACTGACAAATAAAGAGCTTGGGCATTGTCATTTGTGTCCTTACAGTAAGAAATAGGTTGAACCAACTGAAAATCAATGACTGCTCTTATACCCATCAGATAACTGAAGTTGGAGGGAAAACCACCACTCTGAAATCTGGACAGGTGAGTGAATACAGAGAATCATAGTTAAGATCAGCTTACCTATAGCAGGGTCTGCCAGAACCATAGTTGTTCAGAATACAAAGTGGCAATGTTAATAAGTTGTTGGAATCTGTGTGTAGACTACACTGAAACTAAAAATCATCTGAGGGTTGCAGTCTTAGGAAGAGTTACCACACATTCTTGGGTTTTACCTCCAGACCAGCAATAGATTCTCACACAAAGCACAATTTAAGAAAAAAAAACTCATATCTCTGACAAAGAGAAGAAAAAAAAGTAACCACTTTGAAATGCATGTAGAATGTTCTCCACTACCACTGCCTATTTTACCAGAGCTTTATCTCACCTTAGAGAAGAACATTGTGCTAACTCCATCCCCTATAGCCTTTCTGTTTCATATAAGGTGTAAAAAGTGAAGAAACACTTTTTTCTGTGCTCTGAAGGTCAGAGCACAGGACTTAGTGAGTCTACAGACTCACTCACTAAGAGTGAAATATAATCATATGCTCATAGAAAATTATTCTCCATCGCTCCTTAAAACCATCATCAACAGGGTCTCACTAAATAACAGTAGATGACAGCTGAAAAGTTATGAGTCACAAATTCTATTTGAGAAGAAGTTTGAAAGTTTTGAGCAAGATAGAGGCATAGATAGAAATGCTTTACTTCCTCACACAACCAAAAGAAGGATAACAATTAATTTTAAAACAATAACCAATGAGAACTGCTAGAAAATCAAAATTTGTGGAACTCCAACAACCCAGGAATTAAAGAAACATTCACCTGGTAGGAGAGGCAGAGATGGGCAGCCAAGCAGAGAACCTACAGCATGGCAGCAGATCAGGAGGAGAGGTGGGGCTGGCTGACCGGGAAACTAAAGACTAAAAACCTCTAGCTTTAAAATCCTGTGGGGGTTGTGAGGGTGGGAGAAACTCCCAGTCTCACAGGAGAGTTCACTGGAAAGTGGAGCTAGAGTAGAGTGAGCAAGCAGCGTTGTTTCCTCTCTGACCCCTCCCCCACAGACAGCATCATGAAGCAGCAAAGCAGGTTGCCCCACCTAAGGTTTTGTGCCTTATCATGTAACAAAAGCACTGAGACAAAGAAGTATGCCCCAAGTGAAAGAATAGAAGAAAACTCCATAAAAAGAATTAAGCAATGAGGAGATAGACAACCTATCTGATGCACAGTTCAGAACATAGGTAATCAAGATGCTCACAGAGCTAATCAAGCTCAGTCAAAAAATGAAGGCTACCAAAGTAAAATAAAGCAAAATATACAGGGAACCAGCAGTGAAGGAAAGGGAATTGGGACTCAAATCAACAATCTGGAACAAAATGTAGAAGTAAGCATACAGTCAGAACACAGTGAAGAAACAAGAATTCAAAAAAATGAGAAGAGGCTTAGCAACTTATGGGGCAACTTTAAGGTCTCCAACATCCTAATCATAGGGGTACCAGAAGGAAAAGAACAAGAGCAAAAAGCTGAAAACTTATTTGACAAATAATGAAGGGAAATTTCCCTAATCTGACAAAGGAAATAGACTTCCAGGAAGTCCAGGAAGCACAGAGAGTTCCAAAGAAATTGGACCCAAAGAGGAACACACCAAGGTACATCATAATTAAGTTACCCAAGGTTAAAGATAAGGAGAGAATCCTAAAAGCAGCAAGAGAAAAGGAGACAGTTACCTACTAAGGAGTGCCCATAAGATTATTAGTTTATTTTTCAAAAGAAATCTTAGAGGCAAGAAGGGGCTGGAAAGTACATAAAATCATGAAAGGCAAGGACCCACATGCAAGATTACTCTATCCAGCAAAGCTACCATTTAGAATGGAAGGGCCAATAAAGCACTTTCTAAATAAAGTCAGGTTAAAGGAGTTCATCATTACAAAGCCATTATTACATGAAATGTTAAAGGGATTTATCTAAAAAATAGAAGAATTTCAAAAACTATGAACTGTAAAACTACAATAAACTCATAACTCTCAACAACTGAACCTAAAAAACTAAAACAAAAGCTAAGCAAACAACTAGAACAGGAACAGAATTACAGAAATGAAGATCACATGGAGGGTTATCAGTGGAGACAGGGAGGGGAAGAGTGGAGGTAAAAAATATACAGTGAATAAGAAGCATAATCAGTAGGAATAAAATAGGGAGGAGGTTAAGAATAGAATAGGAAATAGAGAAGCCAACAAACTTATATATACAATCCATGGACATGAACTAAGGTGGGGGAATGATGATGGGAGAGGTACAGAGGATAGAGGGAAATGAAGGGAAAAAATCTGGGC